AATTTTAATATATAATGTTTATAAAATTGTATAGTAAATCCTTAACTATAAATTAGTACAATACATATTTTTAATTTAAACAGAGAGAAAGAATTAAGCAGATAAATCTTAACTGATTAACACCAAAGGGTTAAAAACTAAATAATTCAAATATTAAATTAAATCATTAATACAGAAAATATGAAAATTTATTTAAAATTACTAAATCCGACTTTTCTTAAGAACTAAATCTTTTAGCCGATTCAGAATTTGATGTATGTTGAGCGTCTAGAAGTACGTTTAAAATGTCAAATTTAACTCAAGCGCTTTTTATCCGAAGACATTGAAGAGAATAGATAATGAACAAATTGCAAACATAAGACACATCTTTTATGTCTAAAAATAGTTTTTTCAAAGACTCGTTTAACCTACGCTAACAATGGTACATCACAGAACAATAGATTCTACAGAAAAAAAACGTGAAATTTAATAAAACAAAGCTATGAAAATCCCTTACAACATTCAATCAAACCATTAGCTATTATTTATATTCTAATATATCAATATATATTTGATATAGAAGAATGGAAAAGAATAGAAAATCATCATAGAAAATGATAAAAGAAGGTAAACAGAACACAACAATGGTAACTATATCTTAAACTTTAAAATAAAACCCTAAAAATTATTTTAAATAAAATAAAATTTTAGAAACGTTTTGAAAAATAAGCAAAATTTAAGAAATATCCGCAGACTCAATAGGGAATTAGGGGAAAAAATGACAAAAAAGAGAGTAATTTTATGGTATGTCTGAAAATATCAACCGTTTCAGGAAGTAAAAGAACTAGATAAAGAGGCATTTCAACATTTATACAGGTTAAACAGTTAACTATAATTAATATTTTATATCTTTTAATACATTCTATTATATTTAAATGAAGTATTTAAATCAATTTTGAAATTCCTGTCCACGCTAATTATTATAATACAAGGTACTAACAGTCAGTTGAAGGGTGTTTGAATAATTTAAATATAATTATTATAGTAATAATTTCAAATATATAATTTTATATTTATTAATTTCAGAAATATTTAAAATAATATATGCAAATATTTTAACTCAATTATCACGACTTTTTTTTTTCCTTTCTCTACGAGGCATTCGTTACTTATTGGCTCGTATTCAGATAAAACGTACTTCAATGCCGGTTTGTTGTAATCCGACTGAAGCAGAATTCATTTTACCTTTAATAAGGTTATGAAATTTCGTGCTTTAATAAACTTCAATTATTCAATTTTCTATTATATTAAATGAAATTTATACAACTTTAGGAGTAGGCTTCTAAAAAAAATCTAATCGTGTTATTATTCGGGCACGACATTAACAAAATAGCGAAATTCTGAATAAGCAGGGTGTAACAAAATCCTATGTCATGTCTTGATGGATGGATAGATGTAAGATAGCATTATTTTTTTTAAATAAAATATTTTGGATGCAATATGTTAAAAGAATATGGATGGGACTTTTAAAGGATTTTTAAAGGCAACGTTCGCTAGTTGAAAGAGTCGATTTAAAAAAAAAAAAACAAATAACCATAGTCTTATTATTATTAGTGGCGCAAATACAACAACATAATCCCTTGTGATTATAAATATTATTGCATGATTACTGCATTAATTACAAAAGATATGGATCAATGACGTGATCCGGATTTACAATACTTACGTTTACAGGCACTGTACTTATTGTCACCTTCAATCAATCAGTGGCTTAAATGCATTGTGAAGGTTACTTTATAATTTCGCAAGTTTAACCGGGAAACATTGTTTAACTATTTATTTATCTTAAAGAGCCAATATATAATTTTGTTATATTCTATATAAATTTACTACAACACCTGTGCATTTGCTGAGAATTTTTTTTTTTTTTATTAACAAACGTTTTCAGCCTACTCCCGTAGGCCATCATAGGGTTTTTAAATCCGTTTTTAGAAAATATTCCACAAATAGAACATTCCTTTTAAATTTTAACTTTTGAAGTATCGTAAGTGCAAATTTAAAGTTAAACGAATTAAATAAATAAATAAAATAATGTATATTTTTTACATTAGAAAATAATTGAAGTAGCATTAACAATATCAATATATCATTTTGAAGGTTTTAGCAACCAAAAAAACGAGAGGAAAAACAGCTAAAATAGAATAGGATTATAATTAATTTCAAAAATATAATTAATTGCTCTCTGTAAATTTTTAGCATTAAATTTTAATATTAATATAAAAAAATTATTTAAGTAAGATATTAGTAAAATGTTTTAATTTTTGACTTTAATTGCAGAAATATTTAAATTTAATATTAAAAAAAAGTTTAACGTCTATAACCAAAAATAGAAAATTTATGAGGCTAATTAAATAACGACTTTAGAAGATCTTAAGAAGCTTATTTAATGAGAATAATAAAGAAAATAACTAAAAATATTCTCTAGCAAGATTTTCATTCCCTGTTCAACGGTTTTCTGCAGGCTAAGCTATTTCTGATCGCAATTTTCATAATAATAAATGTTCCTGATTCTATCTCTATACAATTTATACGCGTAACAAAAATTTCATTATGGAATAAGTATGAATTTTTCACTTTCTAAGCATTTTGAATCCAAATATACTTTTCCATATAATAGATATTGCTGTAAATATAAGAAGACAATATCGTAGTATATTATTGCAGCTTATAAATTTATTTTTTGGTTTAATTGTTCTGCAATTTCGTGTGAAATAAAGACGATAAAATGATAAATATCAGCTCTTTCTATTTAGTGCATTATCGTGGACTTCACAAACTCACATTTTTTTCGCTTAATATTATAAAGCACTTTCACAACCATTCGCATTTATATTATTAATGTACTGTACAATACAGTACATAATTTAAAATCAATATATATTTTTTATATTTGGTTAATTCTGATATCTGCTAGTACATAAAGTAAGCAAAAATGATTTTCAAGACCTTCAAAATATCATTTCATATAAATGAAAAAAAGATATATATATATTTTAATATATATATAAGATATATATTAAAAAATTTGTTTAAGATAAATAAAGTGATCTTTACATATATTTTATTTTTTAAATAATTGTTAAATAGACATGCATGTAAATTATTAAACAATTTTTAAACAAGACTCGCCTATAATTTAGAAAAATTAAAAAAATATGAAAGAAATTAATTACATATTATCGTAATGATATTATAATTCGTATGAATAGATTAATCAATAGAAAAATTACTAATGTAACCAGTTCAATTTTCCATTATTTATATACAAATAATTTTATAATCTTAATTGCTTTCAGCCATTCAGTAATCATTACATGTTATCAGAATAAAAGAAAAAGAAGTCTTCTCACGAAAAAAGCATCGATTAAGATCAACTGCCTTGAGCTTTGCTGCTGCACTCAGTAACATAATTGATCCGGTTTAACAATGCAAATATATAAATCGTTAGTTTATAAAATGTTTTTAAAAATATCGTTTCCAAAGCTAATATTTTTTCTATCTTCTCAATAATAAACGTGCTTCTAAAATATACAAAACAGTAACAATATATCTTTGTTAAACGGTATCTTGGTTAAGTAAAAGCAGAACTAACAATTTATCATTTTAAAATATAAATAAAGATTTATTTTCATTTCCAAGTGATAAAATTTTACCAAACTTAAAAACTAAAAATTAGTAATATTTTATTAAAAATGTTCATTTTTAATACTTAAAACTCGAAAATATCGGAACGTACTAAAATACAATATCGAATGCTATTAACATTCAATAAAAATACGTATTTTATTATAAAATCGAATTTAGATAGAGCCTATACAAGTAAAGTGGTTCCCGAATAGGTAATAACTATAAATTTAATTTGTAGATCGTTAAAAATATAAACAGCTTCATCGAAAATAACATTGTTTTTAAACAGCGATGACGAATGAAGAATGCTATCATCTCGCCAAAGAATTTTTTACTCTGATGACGTCGAGAAGTACGGAATTGGCAACGTGTACTTTCGTGATAATCATCTTGCCACTGATTTTTAGAGGTTTATTGTATGATACGACGATGTTACTCGAATTCCAAAATGCATGCAAATTCGTTAATGCTTCTTTTATTTAATTCTAAATCGTTTCTTAACGATTATTTAATTGAATAATTTCTGCTAAAAATTTTTGTTTTCCTGTATTTTTTCAAAGTAATTTTTAAAGGATATAATACGTCTCTATAATTACTTTCATATAGATGCGATTTTTTAATGATGGTTCTCAATAGAAGCAATATTTTTCGGTAATGATTTTTCAATTTCTTAGATATCGTGGCCTTAGGTAGGCCTTTAGACCTTTTCCAGGTATCAAAATACAAATAAGAAAATACAATACAGGCAAAACTAAATAGGCATACGACAAAGAATTAGATTGAATTGAATTAATTTTTAATAGGTAAAATACTTTTTGATACTGTTTTTTTCTAGTGAAAATTATCTTCAAATTACAATGTTAATAATTGAAGAAAAATATTTTATTTGATATTTTTCAATAAAATAGTAATGTAGTAAAGTAAGGGACTCGGTAATACATTTTTGTACAAATTTATACTCATGATAAAATACCATAAATATTTTTATTACTAAATTTACGCTTTCAGTACTATATATATAATTTAAAAATTTTGTATTTTATTTAAAAGTTTCTAGTAATTTTTTCCTGTCCTTTTTTAAACGGAATTATTTTTAGTTGCCACATTTTTTTTATAATAATATCCAAAGAAATTAACTTTTTCTTTCGCGTTGATAAAGTTCAAAACAGTCCAAGGATATTTCTACATTTGAAAATTTCCTGGTCTTTAAATGTTATCTAAATATAACCTGAATGCTACTCTCTTCCAACAGCTAGATGCGGCAACAGCGTGGGTAAAAAATGAGACAGTCTTAAGCTTGGATTAAAAATAGTGTAGAAGGGGGTTATACTTACCAAAGGCATGCAGTCTTGTCTTGGAAGAGAGGCACTAGTGCTGAGGAAGGCTCCACACGCTACCATGTGAAACGATGAAAGTTGACTGAAAAAAGCATGAAAAAAAATGATTTTCTTATTAATAAACGAAAGATTTTAAAATTAAAAAAAATTTTTAAACATCAAATTAATCACTTATATGAAAATTGAATTCAATTAGTAAAACCTTTCTGAAGGATTTTATCTGATGAATAAATGCGCATAAAGTCCCGATACATTAAAATGTTGCATTCCTAGTGTAAAATCTATTTATTTCTTTTGTTTAAAGACTGCAAAGTTTGCTAAGAAAAGAAAGATGCTTAGATGATCTTTCAGCGCTGTACTATGTCACTATAATTACCAAAGGAGGTAGACGTTGAAAGAGAGAACTGTCTATTCTAGGATGGGGAGTGACGAGTTTTCATACTTTACACGAAGTCATAAGATTAAAGTTAACTTACTTGTTCGATTCGCTGCACATACGACATGAGCAGATGCATCGCACGTGTTGTCGTACGTCAACGAACATTGTATGAGCGAAATGAGTAGAATCATCTCGGGCTATTTGTTTGCGTGTAAAAGTCAAGTAAGTAGGAAGTTGGCCTTGGAAAACAGATAACGTGGACAACGAATCCGGATCGCTTCAGAACTTGAAGAATTGTTTTTAAAACGTGTATGAATTCGCGTAATAAATCATTGCGAAGATTATAAATTGATCACATTTTATATTTCGAGTAATAAAAAGAAAGTGATATTCATTATTTAAAATTAATTTATGATAAAATGTTATATAAAGTGTTATACAGTCATACGGTAGCAAAAATCACAAACGAAACCCTGACCTCTAGAATTTGGGTTTTTGACTCTATTGGCTCTTCAGGAGATTCTTAAACAAGTCCAATTGCAGATTTGCCAAAAAATAAGAGCACGTTCATTTCTGTTATGGCACGCTAAATTCCTTAAATTTTAGCATTTCACTTCCTTATTGATTCGTCATTATTCTAAGTACAAATAATTTTAAAACAATAATTTATTTAGTTATCAGCTCGAGGACTTGTTCTAAGTTATGATAAATAACTACGTGGTAGTCTTACGCAAGGATCATTATAATGAAACTACACAATTAACTCAAGTTACTGTATCTACATATAACAGAAGAGTAAAAAATAACAGCGAAAATTTATTTAAAGTATATATAAATTATATTTTAAACTTAATTTTATAATTTGATAATAAAAATCTTATCTTTATTCGAGAATTTCAAACTTTAAAATTAAAAATAAGGATTTTAGAGAAAGATTTCGAATCGTTTATAGTATAAAGTGACTCTACAAATGGTTTAAATTATAAATTTTTATAACGTATTGTTTTAAAGTATAAACAATCCCTTTTATAGAAAAAAAGCAAATAATTTTCGGGTTTTTACTTTGTTAACTTAGGAACTTTTTGCCACAAAAAAGATTCAAATTTCAGAAAATCTAGATTATACCAGAATTAATCTCAAAAAGTTTTTAATACTAAATTAAACGACTAAAAATTATGTTTCCGGTAACCGCTTACGCCTACAGTTAAACAATTAAATTAGTGATTTACACTACAACAAACATTACAAGTATTTACCTAATTTAATCGAGAATAATTACATGCATGTAGAATCTATATAAAGTAACGTAACAAATAGAAATAAGAAAGAAAAAAAATTATAAATGATTTAATGATTGAAGGGAAAGATTAGTATAAAAAACAAAATAAAATAAAATAAAATTTCAGATATTTCATATAAATACAACAGTTATTATGATATAAGTCTATTATTATTGTTTGTCCTTCAGGTGTGAATTTCCGTCAGTTGTCCTTGAAAATTCGAATTAAATGAGTCCAGATAGATATCTAGGAGCATGTAGTATATGAAACCTAAAATTCATACGCTCTACTGTAAAAGGATAGCCGATGAAGCATTTTTGTCAAGGGCATTATCAACTGCTAGTTATGTAGCCTTTTCATGCATAATTTGGCATCGCAGATTTATAGATAAGCTTCTGGAAGTATAGTAATTCATCGCTACATTCGTGCATAAGTTATGAAGTTTTTGTCAAAGACATTGCCGAGAAGACAAAATAATATGAATTTTTTGAAATTTATGTTCGAATACACGAAAAGATATTGATTCAGTTAGGTCTAATGCAAATCCTAACACTTCATTCAAAATTCCATTTGAAAATTTCCTGTACCTCGAAGAACGGAGGGAGAAATTCAATAACACCGATAAAATGACGATAAAATTTTCATATTTATGATCCAAGTACGTTTCGGACCCCGAATCGATCTGGGCCAAAGATGTGTCAAAATGGTGCCCTATCGTCTCATTGGCATTCAGGTCTAGTCGTCTCCTATCTGGACTGGGCTGATTTATCGTCCGCTATTGGCAAAAGTCCAAACCTTTTCTCTCTCTCCTACCCGAAAAATGATCAATTCTTGTAGAAACGAAGTAAGTCGGTCGATTCCCATTAAAGAACGAGTCGATCAAAAATGTTTATAACGAGTGAAATATCTCGCAACATCCAAGTGATCGCGAGAGATAAATAAATAAACCACTCAATTTTCTACCCGAATTTTTCTGAAAAATCTTTTATTTCTCTGTATATCCCATATATTTTTAAATTTATACATACAAAATCTGCTTCACAAATCCTCTTGACTTTGTGAAGATACAAACATTCGCGTAAAAATCCGGATTCGAATCGTAGTTACGACATCGATTTCGTGATTAATACTTGCGCAAGAGGTGACCAGTAACGTTTCGAATTAAAAATAAACCAAATAAATAAAGGTTAAATAAAATTATCCAATATTTAATTCGATACAGATCATTAACAAGATTTAACATCATCAACGTTTTAATGAAAACGAACAATTCCGATCAATGAATTTAAAAAATTTAAAACTAAAAGAACGAAATCTTTCTAAATAACACGTAAAACTTTTAAAACTAAGAGAGTTATGACGTATTTTAAAACTTTTCAAGTTTTTGGATGACAAATTCGAACTTAGTGACCTTGACACAATAGATGAACAATGGGCGGAGCTTTCTCTTTGATCCGCACTGCGCTGTGACATAAGAAAATCGAAAAAGATCAATTTTTCAAAAATGATTTTAATAACGAAAAATATATTTTGAGAAACGTTGATAATAAAATTTTCAAACCATTCACTTTCTTTTTATTTTATTTATTTTTTAACATAACAATTAAATACGATAGAAAAAAAATCGGATAAATTAAAGATGGGTACAGTATATCTCCTTCTGGTAATGTATTTATCACTCGAGGGAAATGTTGTCCTTGCTTTTTTCTTTCTTATAACAAATCTCGTTTTGTCTTTATCATACGCAATGATCGCTTAACTGGTCTAGTGTGCAAATATAACGGAAGGAAACTGGGAATTTACTGTGTTCTTAGAAAATTTTAATGAATAGTATACACAAATAAACTTTCAATGAAAGCGAAAAAGTATCTAATTCTATCGAAAGCTTGCAGAGCTATAAAAAGTAATCTTAATCCAACCTTGCAAGACGACACGAGGAATAACATTTCTTTTTTCTTTTTTTTTTTAAAGTATCAAGCTAATTGTTGGGTAAAGATTTTTTTATAGCCCATAACGCGAGAACCAATCACGCATACATAACACAAGTCGTTCAAAAGCCATCTAGTGGATGATTTATTAACAAAAAACGATAAAATTTTAATATTTAGGAAGTGTATCGGTTCTAATGCTATTAAAAGTGATTAAGGCTAATTATTTTCGTTGCTGTGAAAAATACTTTTTATGTTTATGGATAACAGAGAAGAAAAAAAGATATCGGTTTCATTACAAATATTAGTCTAAAATTTCATTTGTAAGCACTTAAAAACTAGTAATGATAATCAATTAATGTGTAGGATTTGTAACAGTTCAGGTACCGGAGAAGGCATTTTTTTTCCATAAAAATTACGTGAAGTAGCAGACATAAGAAAAATCGATTTGTGCTAGTGTACAGAATACAAAAACCACTCTAGAAAGAAAGTTTAACTTTTTGTTATATGATACAACAGAGCTCTATATATATATATATATATTGAAATATCAAAACAATAAATTATTCAATCAAAAGTGATTTAAGTTAGGTCGATATATATAATTTAAAATTTTAAAAATGCATACGCTATTTATTTTTTATTATTATTTTTTCAGAATCCGTGATTTGACTTAATTTAGGAAATAGTTTATATATAGAACTTACGTTAAATCTAATTTATTGATGAAATAATGCTCACAAATGATATTTTTCCTTACTTTTTTATGATCTAAAACTGATTTAGATTCACCTAAATCAAGATCATAATCGTAACATTCAGAATCATCAGAGAGAGAGAGAGAGAGAACTTCTTTTTCAAAACTAGTATAGCCTATTTTTAGTTTATTTTGGATTTGAAAATCTTCAATATTTTTGAGGATACTTCTGTAAAAGTCAGTTGACATCAATATTTTCCTCCCCTAGAATATTTTTTTCTTTATTGAAATACTTTCGTGAGTTTTGAAATACTGGAATTTCTTTATAAAGTTACATTTATTTCGGACAAATAGATTTTAGAATCTGTGCAATTCTGCGGAAAACGTAGATAATTTTGTACTATCCAAGTAATAATTTCAAGTTATGTTGTACTACATCGAGTAAACTTTTATATGTTAAGGTGACATTCGAAAAATACGTAATAAAATATATATATATTATTTTTACGAATTTAATATAACCCAGTAATTTCGAATTTGAATTGTGTAACATTAAAAAGAGGAACCATAAAGTAAAGAGATTTATGTCAAGATTAAATTAATACAGACTGAAAATATAACCGGTCGAGCTGATAACTAACCGAAAATTTGGAAATTTTTTTTTTTTATAAGTTTTTATTCAAAAATATAAAAATAGATAAAACATGTAGGTTAACGGTTGGAATTCAAAATTTTATTACGTATATACCTTTCATCTAATCAATATCAGTTTCATAAAAATCAATTTATGTATCATAAAATTAAATTTTAAAATGATTTTCTTTATAGAAATAACAATAGCAAATAGTGAAAAAGTTTATATTTGAATGCTTTTTTTAATTAAGTAATTATTTATATTAACATTCAATTTTGGAAACAAAAATATTATTTTTACTGCATTTTAATTCTTTAAAAACTGAAAAAATTGATATAAAAATTATCATTATATTTTGAACTTTAATTTTTGGTTGTTAAATTTATATATAGAGTAGAATTTGAATGTTGATGTCTCCTTTAAATTTGTAAATCATCTTAACTTTTGAATTATTTTTAAAAATTACTTATATTTAGTATAATTTTAAAAATAACTTATAAGTTAGAGTACGAGTTTTGTTCAAAATTAACCGAAAAATTTACAAAATTTATTCTATAAGTTTACATTATTTTTAAAGAATGTACTTTATATTAATATAAACTGCAATATATATTATTGCTTGCAATCCATAACATCACAAACGATTTTTATATCCTCTGTAAGACCACTAAGCAAAAAACATTGGAAAATACTTAATTAGATTAATGTTAAAATTAATAATCATCCGAATGTTAAAAATATTTAAATGCCATCATTTTCCTGCATACAAAGAACTTCTCTAAACTATTTTTTATATTTTAAAATTATTTTTAGTTTTAAACTTCGGACGATGGAGAAACTATCAGAAAATGTATAATGTGAAAAGAAATATCAGAATAATTACAGCATGTTAATTTTATAAAATGATTATAAATATTATAACAATATTTTTATTAAATTACTCTACAAAAAGTATCGTTAATGGCCCAATAACCATTTGTCATAATATCTGGATTTTTTCTGAAAGCACATTCTCTTTTTTCCATCTTCATCTTCTTTTTCTAATAGAGAAAGCAAGCTAATGATGGATTCCATATGAGTTATAACTATTTAAACTAAGTTATGAGAATTGAAGCATTATCATTAAATAATAAAAAATATAAACGTTATAATTTCGTATAAAAGCGCACAGTATATCTCATTAACAAATTTGTTTCTGTAAAGTATTTTGCATATAAAAATATTTCTTCAAATTTAACCTAGATTCTTTATAGACAAACACTTCAAAGTTGCTTTTCTTAATCAGTAACAANGCTGTAAACTG